TGGGGACATTGAGTCTGAATGGACCCTGTTCCGGACCTCCATTGTGGAAGCGGCCGTACGGAGCTGTGGCTGCAGGGTGGTCGGTGCCTGTCGTGGAGGTAACCCCCGCACCCAATGGTGGACACCAGAGGTGAGGGGGGCCGTGAAGCTGAAGAAGGAGGCTTACCGGGAATTATTAGCCCGGGGGTCTCCGGAGGCAGCTGACGGGTACCGGCAGGCCAGGCGGAACGCAGCTCGGGCGTTCGCAGAAGCAAAAACCCGGGCGTGGGAGGAGTTCGGTGAGGCCATGGAAAGTGACTTTCGGTCGGCCTCAAAAAGGTTCTGGCAAACCATCCGGAGTATCAGGAGGGGGAAGCAGCTCCTGGTTCCTACTATTTATAGTGGGGGTGCTGTTGACCTCACCTGGGGACATCTCCCGGAGGTGGAAGGAATACTTTGAGGACCTCCTAAACCCTGCCTCAGATACATCTACGCACACTGCCTTTGAGACATCTGAGGGCACAGAGCCCGAGGGTGCTGGGGGGGGGGCTTGCACATCACTGGGGCTGAGGTGGCCAGGGTGGTTAAACAGCTCCGTGGTGGCCGGGCCCCGGGGGGGGACCTGAACCCTGGACAAGCGGATGGTAATGGATGGATGAATGGATGGATGTTTATAACAAAACTTGAATACACTTGTTTGTTGTATTTAAATCTTGACCCAACGAACCAAGCAAGAATTCCAATGTACTTGTACTTCTAGCTGTGCAAATACCCAATAAGATTTCCATTCAGTTCAGTTAAATTCAGTTTATGCATGTGTGTTTTGTTTTTGCATCCATTTTGACTCACTCTCTGTTTTTCTTCATTTTTGCCCAAGAGTGAAGCTGTGAATCTTGTGGACAGCCTGTTCCCATTCTGTCTCTCCATAACATGCCAAAGATTTCTGTGCAGCTGAGCTGAAATATAGGCCCAGTGAATGCTGTACTTTACTTGAACTGGTCTGGTAAACTGTCCAGCTGTGTTGGTTGGTCAAAAGTGCCGTTGAACAGATTTTTTTAGCAATTACTAAAAGGTTTATATGTATAAAAAAAAACTGTTTCAGTTTCTAGCAATATGCAAAGCAGCAGAGGATATCTGGTGCAACTTCTTAAATTCAAACACCACCCAGCAAACCTACCAAAGCTGTTAAAAGCCCCCCCATATTTTCAGGGTATGCAAAGTAGTGTAAACCACACACATCTGGGCTAATTTCTGAGCAGTTAATTTTTGAAAAGATGAGTGGGGTTCACACAACCGTGACTGATGTTTACATGGCTAAGGTTGGTGTGACCCGCGAGCTCTGAGAATAGAACACCAAGTTTCGGTAGGTGTAGGGGAGACTCCCTCGTGGGTTGCAGAGAGCAAGAGCTTGGCAAACAGAGGAAGAGGGAAAAGGTAATTTTGACATTTGTATTCAATGTTCTGCTGCTTAACCCTGGACCTCTAATGAAGACCAAATTTCTCAAATTCAGTCCATTTTTTGCAGATTTTGAGATGAGACTGCAAATGATCAGGCTTCCTCATCATATGTGACAGCATTGATGTCATGTCTGACAGGGGAGGCACGGCCCAGAGGCAGCGTTGGGGTCGCGTCTGACAGGGGAGGCACGGCCCAGAGGCAGCGTTGGGGTCGCGTCTGACAGGGGAGGCACGGCCCAGAGGCAGCGTTGGGGTCGCGTCTCACAGGGGAGGCACGGCCCAGAGGCAGCGTTGGGGTCGTGTCTCACAGGGGAGGCACGGCCCAGAGGCAGCGTTGGGGTCGTGTCTGACAGGGGAGGCACGGCCCAGAGGCAGCGTTGGGGTCGTGTCTCACAGGGGAGGCACGGCCCAGAGGCAGCATTGGGCTGAACATAAAGGGGGTTTATTTGAATGGGACATGAACAACCAGAAAACAAAGGACCACAAGGGGTTTAAAACAGGGCAGGAAGGAGCAGTGAGACAGGAGTGAGGCGAACTGGAACACGGGGAACATAGAACACACCAAGCATCAGTAAGAGAGACAATGACTGAGCTGGGGAACAGTGAGGGCAGGGACACATATACAGGGAATAGCATAAGGCAGGTGTGTGTGATTATCTCATTAGACCAGGAACAATTAGGTGGCGACCTATGCTGGCCAAACAGGGACATGACGGAGGCGGATTATGACGATAGACCTTTTTCACGCTTCCTGTTTCCAGAAGCTGGAACTTCAGCAAAGCAGTTTTTTTTTCTTTTTTGAGCTCAAATAGAGCTTTGAGCGTTAAACTGATGAATAATTTTGGTGCACAGAGAGCAGGGGCGAGTTTGCTGCTTTATTTCCGATTTGCCGGAAAGGGAGGCTCCTTTATGTGGTTTTTATTACTCAGAAGAGCAAACTACTTTACAGAAGAGCGGACGCACGTTTTTCTGTAATTGTGTTGCTTGCTCATAATCACTCTGTTCATTGCTTCATTGAAGCTGGATTGTGAAAATACATCTCAGCTAAGGACAGGGAAGTCAAAATGCAACCATGGTGATGGTAGATAAGTCTTAATTTTCCTTCTGTCAAAGCTGAAAGCGTTACATTGTAAAACACTACAAGGCATCACATGCAGATTACATAACTCATGGGGAATAACAAAACAGACACAGACTGTATAAAGTACGAGTGTAGCACACAACCTAGACCAAAGCAGCTACCGCAAGCATTAGGAGAAGCCAACATGTCGGTATTAATAAGTGACAGGCGGTAAGTCAGGGCTGGTATGGTCACCCCAGACAGTCGCTCTTCCTCAGTGTCTTTGGGATCGCGGACTGGCCTCCTTCGGTGGCCTCGCAGGTCACCTCCTTTGCCGAGCTCCACTCCTGCTCGGTCAGCGTCAGCGTGCTGCTCCAGCCGTAAAGGCCGCCGCTCTGGAGCAGCCCGGTGCTGCTCGCCACGGAGGAGCCCCTTGACGCTCCATCCACTTTCCAGCTCAGCGCCCAGCTGGAGGGGAAGCCGCCATTGGCCAGGCAAACCAGCGAGGCTGTTCGCTTGCTGGAGAGCTCCTGGCCAGAAGGGGGCAGCACTGTGAGGGTCGGGACAGTGGTTTCTGGGGGGACAGAATAACGTACAGTATGTGAAAGGGGTAGAAGAGTAAGTGGACAGATTCAATACGGACTTGGCGTAAAGTAACATAGCTGGGAACTGAGAAATGGAAAGGATTTCATTCCATTCACAAACAGAAACGTCCGCTTTGCGCTGTATTTATGTTGTGTGAAGGGAAAATGTTGAGAATATACAGCGTAAAGCAACCTTTTTCGATGCTGGGCCTGAAAACGGTTTACGGTCCCGCTGAACTCCAAGCTCTATATTACGTGTGAATAACATTTTGACCACATTGCAGAATAAGTTTAACAGAATAACCATAGTTTTTTTTTAATAAACAGTATTTGCATCTCGTTTTAAAATTTGTTCACAAGTGATCAGATTGTTTAAGTGCTTAGAACAAGTATTAGTTAATAGAATTAATTAATGAACACTTAAAATTTTAGTTATACAAGTAAATGATAACAGTTTACTTGATGGGGTGCAAATAATATAGTATTATGCTAATCTTAGTTACTTGCTGATCTCATGTTAATTCATCATCAATTAATCATGAGGCATGTTTTATCTCAAGCAGTTACTATCTTAATTCTGTAAACCTTTGTGAACTGCTGAATGAACAAGTAATGAATAACACAACTATATTTGTTCATGATTTGCTCATAATTAGTACTTCAGCAGTTATTACTAAGTATTTGTGCCCCGTCAAGAAATTGATATCAAATAAAAACAAGCTGGGTTTAAATGGTGTTCTTGAACGACTCAAGTTTTTCTTTCAAAGAAAAAAAAGCATACAGCCTACAATTAGTGACGACCCCGCTCTTTTGACTTTTAGTGAAATAATAGATAAACTTCAGCTCATTAAAGCTCATGAGCTCATTAATGAGCTCATTAAAATAATATAATCAGAATTCTAAAACATTTTATACATATTTTGGCATTCATTAATAGTATCGTAATTAGTAATTCATTGCATTGCATATTTGTGTTGCACGTTTCAGCATACGTTGAAATCTTTCACTTAATTAAGTGGCATAGCTCAGCACTGAAGTAACACTGCTCGACAAAATTGTTGTGAAGATGAGAAAATAAATCATTTTTGGTGTTGTCTTCACTATATTAGTGATAGTTTTGGAACAGACACAGGATATGGTACCATTACGGTAAATAAAGTGGATACTTACTTCCAACATCAAGCCCTGTGCCCCCCCCCCCCCGAAGATGAGCACAGTGTTTCAGCCCCGTTTAGTAGCTGCACAAAAACCTCAGCGACTCCTTTCATGCCAGGTCCCGTGAAAATTCGTAACCCTCTGTGTCTCATATTCACACGAACGTGCGTGACTGTCTGTGTCTCACATTCATGTGAACGTGTCTGATTGTCCCCTGGTGTCTCACACTCACATAAATGTGCATGACTAACTTTGACATGAACATTAGTGACTTTCCTCTGTGTCTCACATCCCCCTTCATGTGAACATGTGTGTTGTCTCACAGTCTAATACTCTCCTCTATATCTATTTGTATTTCTTTCCCATCGGTATATATCTGTCTCAGAGGCAAATATGCATTATTCATAAAAACAATAATTATTTTTAAATTATGTACAATCATGTCAAAGCAAAGCTTTCTAAAACAGTTTTAATAAAAAGATAATAAAACATCCTATCTAAAAGGAAACAAGCACCAGCAGAGACGACTGTAAACTCCACAATGAAATTGAATTCTCTGTATTTTCCTCAAAGCTGGGAACTCAGGGAGGTTTTATAATTTTCCATATCGATATGTTATGTGCAGTTTGAATGACCAACGTCAGCAAAACAGTAGAAATCAACTGCATCGCCAGGCTGAACTTCACCGTCGAGTGAAGTCAGTCCCAGATCCAGATCCACTGAACCTCACTGGAGTCCCAGTGTGGCGATTGCTTTTTCTTCATACTAGGACCTTTGGAGCAGCTCCAGGTTTGACCTTGTAGCAGAGTAAGTAACCATTAAGCTCACTGCTGGATTTACAGTTCAGGGTAACTGTGATGCCTGAGGGAGTGATTTTAGGCCTGTGGAGCAAGAACTGTGCAGTGAGGCTTGGGGAGGTTTTTGTACGACTTTATATCACTGCAGTTTGAAGGACCAAAGTCAGTAAATCAGTAGTAATCTTCTGGTGACCTAGGTTTAGGTCAGGTGGCCAGGTCATATGATGCGACACTATTACTCTGCTTTGTAGGCGGTTTGGTGTGTCCAAACCTTTGACTGGTACTGTATGTACCTGTCTAAATATTAATGACAAACATGTATTCATCATGAGAATGCTAATTATTTTTAAATTATATGCATAGAATAGAGCTTTCTAAAATTGTTCTAATAAAAACAGTTAATTGTTTGACTTACCCCGCGCTGAATAATGTAGGAGATGAAAGGTCTCAAAGGAGAAGATCATCTTTTCCAGGATCCCAAAACATCCAAAGCACAAGTAGAGATGATTGTAAAATCCACACTGAAATGAAATCCTCTGTATTTCCTTCAGAGCTTGTTCTCTGACTGATCTCACAGAGCAGGAACTGGGCAGTGGGATTAGGGAGGTTTTTGAATGATGTTATATCACAGTGTGATGTATGGATCACCATAACAAACAAAACAATAATAATCAGCGGCATCATCAGGCTGGACGTCACTGATCTGTAGAGTGTAGTCAGTCCCAGATACAGATCCACTGAACATTTCTGAAACCACAGTGTGAAAAGATTCTCCTCCCCAAACTGTGATTTTAGGAGCTTCTCCAGGTTTGACCTGGTACCACCACATCAAATAAACAGAAGTGCCTGTTTTACAGCTCAGGGTCACTGTGCTGCCTGGTTCAGCAGATTTCACTGGTGGAGTCTGAGTCACTGTATACTGCCCTCTGGATCCTGAAACCAACCAGACCAATGAATTAATGAATAACAAAAGGATATTGTATCAGCATTAGAGAAAAATGATTGAAAAGTCAAACACCTTTATTACTCATTACTGTGTTGCAAAATAAAAGTTCTGCTGCACTGAGATAAATTCAAGATTCAAGATTCAAGAGGGATTTATTGTCAATACAGCAATATACATGGTATACCGTGCATCGAAATGCCGTTTCACCCAGCCCTCCCCATGGTGCGTAGAATATAAAAAATATAAAAATATAAGCAGAAATTACACACACAAGTACCTTGAGAGCTATAAAAATTTCTGTACACAATTAAATACCTATAAAAACTATACAAATCTCTGTACATTAAACAGGGACAGCAGGAGGACATAAGACGTTTCAATGTGTTATAAGTGAGCAGTAAGAAGCCGCCTCCTACCCTGACTGCAGAAGATGAGCGACCAGAGGAAGATGATGATGATGAAGCTCATGTTTGCCTTTATTTCCACGGCGATGAGACCCGACTGTCAGTCATGAAGAGCTAAACACACGGGACTAATAAACACTGCCAGGGCACTGAAGTGTTTAACACTGATGCAAATGATCCTCTGCATGCAAAGTGTCTCTCGTGTCTCTCACAGTGACATCAGCTGTGTCACACTTACTCAAATGTGAACCTAACTGGCTGTATTTTATAAAATCTATTAATTGATACCGTTTGACCCTGCCTTTTGTGTCTCTTCCCCATTTGGCCTGCAGGTGGTGCTGTTCATCCTGCTTCACCCGTCTCTTAGCCTTTTAACCCTCCTATGTTTTGCCTTGCCCCCCCAGACCCCCGCAGAGCTCATGGGTTGAGTGGCTTTTAGCCTGCCTCTCCATTTGTTTATTTTTGGGTTTTAGTTTATCCTTAGCTTTTGTTTTTTTATGGTTTATCCTTGTGCTTCTGTTTTGGTTTATCTTGTCTGTTCCTTGTTTTATTATGTTTACGAGTTCCTTGGTTCTTAGTTCTTCCTAGTGTTGTTAGCTTTGAGTGTTTCATAGTTTTCAGTGTTTGTTTGAATTCCTTTGTTCTGTGATTAGTTCATTGTAATCCACCCCACCTGTTTCTAGTCAATCTGTGTTCCCTGTGAGTTGATTACAAGTCACACTTGTCCTCTGTTTGCCTTGATGCTTTGTGAGTATTTAAGTGCCTGTTCTCACTCAATTTGTTAGTCAGTCATTGTTGTTTATGTTCTCGTGTGCTAAGTAGCGGTGTGTTGTTGCTCTGTTTAGTTTCTATGGGGGTATTTCACGAAGCAGGATTTCTTGCTTGGCCAGATAATTTGTCAGATTTAAGGTAGTCTGAGGTACATTTAAGTGGACGAAGATATAGTCCATTTAGCCCAGACTACCTTAAATCCAACAAGTTATCCAGCTAAGCAAGAAATCCCGCTTTGAAAAAAACCCCCTATGTCTACTCCCTGTGTTACCCAGTTTTTCTGTCTTTTCTTGTTCTTTAGTTGTGTTTAGTTTCTAGGTTTCTAGTTAATCTCTTATTTTTCCCAGTTTGTTTTTTTACCCGTCATGCTCTCTTATTTTGTAGTTTATCCCTTTGTGTCTTCATTTTTAACAAAAAGTTTTTCTCTTGGGGTCGCTAATGGATCGTCATCTTTCCCAGCCTGGATCATGCAGCACCATAATATAAATGTATTTAGATTGTACAAAGGAGTGATAGAAATTGCACATAAGCCAAACTATTGAATAGTTATTTTTGGTTAATCATGGTATGGCTCACAGGATTTCCTAAACATCATTTATATTGTCACGTACAGAGCAGTTGACTGAGAGGCCTCAAATCCACCAGCAGTCGCCGACTGTTACTGTGGGTTTTTGTACTGCTCTGTGTCACTGTGTGAGGTTTGGGGAACCATAGTCGGCAAAGCAGAAATACACAGCTGCGTCTTCAGCCTGTACTCCAGTGATAGTCATGGAGAAGGCAGCTTTGCTCACATCTCCGCTAAATCGTGCTGGAGTGTCTGAGTAGCGGGTGTTAGTTTCATATATTATGAGCTTAGGGATGGATCCATCTTTCTGCTGGTACCAGGATAATTTACCAGAAAGCTTTTCAGATGAGCTGACCTTACAGGTCATGGTGACAGTGTCCTGTAGGACAGCAAGCTGCACTGTAGGGATCTGAGTGATTGTGATCTGGTTACTGGACCCTAAACCAGAAACAAAGGATCAGTACAGAGAGACTTCAGTGTTATTATAAACCACTGAATCATCAAGCATAGACTGAGAAAGAACACTGCAGAAATAATAATAATAATAATAATAATAATAATAATAATAATTGATACTTTATTGATCCCCGTGGGGAAATTGTTTTTACGCCTCCCTCAACTTGCTCTTTGTAGAGCATGCTGTCCGCGAATGGCAGCCACCCGTAGTGGCGCCCAGGGAGCTGGGGGTTGAGGGTCTTGCTCAAGGACCCGCAGACGTGCTGAGGCTGGGCTTGAACCGGCGACCTTGTGATTACAGGCACACGGCTTAGCCCACTGAGCCACACGCTGCCCCACAATTATACTTAGAGTAGAAATTGATAAACAAGCAATGGATCAATTAACGGACCGTCTCCTACCCTGACTGCAGAAGCTGAGAGCCCAGATGAGGACAGTGATCAGAATCATTGCTGTTTGTAGATTTTGGAGCCCAGCTCAGAGTGACTAAGGTCTAAATGCACAGGAATATAAACACGCACCAAGCGCTGAAGTGTGTCACCCTGATGCGGCGTGACGTCTCTATGCTAAGAAGGATTGCATGCTCTCATCGTAGACTAAAACCGTGTGTGTGTGTGTGTGTGTGTGTGTGTGTGTGTGTGTGTGTGGACTGACGAAATAAGAGCTTTATTTGGGGAGTTTGAAGAATCATATTAGCCATTAATATTTGTATAATGATGCCTATAAGTGTGAGGATGGGGGTTGTGTGTATGACTCTGTGAATTAGGGCTGACTTTTATCAGAAGGACACCAGTTTAAATCCCACGACGGGCAGTGTTGTGACCATTGGGCCCTGTAGGACTTAGCCCCAATTGCTCCAGGGACAGGCTGGCCTTGCTACCTCAACTGCCTGCTGTTTTGGATAAATTTACCGCCCAACCATTTTCGTTGGTTACAGGACACATTTCTGAATCTGTTTCTACTCCTTCTGCTCCTTTTAACAGCTGAAAGAGAGCCGTGACCTTTGGCAGCATTAAGCCACAGGCAAATGCAGAGTCATCGTTTAGTGACTCGGGGATATTTACTATTGGGAAAGACAGACAACTTCTGCTGACCAGGAACAGGCTGCAATGTAGCACATTTCCACTAGGTGTCAGAAGAACTGCAGTAAAGTCACACGTGGTAACAGAAACCTTTTAATACGTTAAATTTGTTTCCGTCACTAATTCCAAGGTCTCCCTTATAGCAGATACAGAGGTGGAAGAATCAAACAGATTGACCACAAATGTCCCCTGCTTAGTTCAATGGCTGCAGAGGGCCGTATTCATACACATTTTGCATATATATATTGTGTGTGTGTGTGTGTGTGCGCGTGCGTGCGTGTGTGTGTGTTTTAATTTGTTTTATTTATGTTGTAGTGACCACCAATGCATCACCCACTTAACCCCCAATTATAAGTTCCAGACATCAAAAAAGAAAACAAGAGACCAGTGTCTATTCATTCTATAAACTAGACAGAATACATTTTAGAATTTTTGTGAAATACAAGGTCACAGAAAACAGCAGAACAGGAAAAAAAAAAAAACAGAATGCAGCTTATAAAGCCGCAGGCAAAGGACGACACTCTGCTGTCGTTTCTGGCCCCAGTAAATGAATCATCACCACCCTGTCATACACTGAGGCACAGAACCACTAAATAAAGTCAACTGGAGATTGAAAGATTTGTGATTTTCTGGGAAAAGTCCACCAGGGGGCGTAGTAGAGTAGACATCTGCAAGCCTCCAGTTCTCCATACTGCCGCGGCAAGTGTCACTATGGAGCTGTTCCTTACTCACTGGTCTGGCTGCTCCTTTGCTTCTCCTGGCAGGACTCTATGTTAAGGTGGCAGGGTGACTACAATCAGAGGCTCTCTGTTTCTCCCATTGATGATTGGCCAGGGGTTAAAGTAAGGGTACACCTTTTCCTTGAAGGTGTCCGTAAAGGTGAAGATGTGGCTCATGTCTCCGGCATCGTAGAAGGAGACCAGTCCACGGGGGTAGTCCAGGTAGATGCCGACGCGCTGAGGCTTCCTGGGCAGCCTGAGCAGGTTCTCCATGGAGGTGCAGGCCTCGTACTCGTCCCCGTTGCGGAGCACCAGCGTCCAGAAGCCGTCCTCGGGGCACAGGTTGATCTCCTCCTTACGGTTGACGGACTCGACGGCCACCCCCAGGCCCCAGGCCGTCTTCTCCCCCACCTCCACCTCCCAGTAGTGCCTGCCGGAGACGAACCCCTCGGAGCCCAGCACGATGTTGTAGCGGGTGAACCTCTCCGGGTTGTCTGGGAGATTGGGCTGGATGTCGCCTGCGCTTACGTGGGTCCGGCAGGCCGACACCATCAGGTGCGGGTAAGCGGTGTCTGGGTCCAGGGTCACCACCTTCAGATCTAGGTGACGGTAGTGAAGCCAAATTAACATCTTTGGGAATGTTTCTTGCGCCATAAGAAAGGATGTCACTGTTTCGTAGAGGCTCTTGCAGCTAGCTTTTTAGTCATCTAGAACAGGGGTGGGGAATCTGTTCCATGGAGGGCCAGTGTGGGTGCGGGTTTTTGGGATGACCTCTCGCTCAGCCAATAGTAAAAGTGGTTCTCAACTCCTGTCCTGGGGACCCACTGTTATTGGGTGTTGAGAGGCCCTGGGAGCTTGGAGGGAGCAAAAATGTGGACTGGCTGGGAAGGAGCAAAAACGTGGACTGGCTGTGGTTCTCCGAGGACTGGATCGGGAAACACTGATCTAGGGCAGTGATATATTTCATTACATTTAATTATTTACAAACACTTGAAAACCAGCAAGCAGAGTCAGCCAATTCTTGTAGCAGTCTGGGTTAAGGGCCTTGCTCAAGGGCCTAACTGTTACTTGATTACTCCATCAGTCACAGGATTTGACCTCATATCCTTCTGGATATGGGCGAAAACCCATAACTCGCCGAGCTACACGGCAGTCAGTGGACTAGGCCGCTGGCGACGGACTCTCTCAACATACCTGGATGCAAGATGGAGCGCATCTTCCTCCAAACCCTGTACTGCAGTGGCCCCACAAACTCCCCGGGCTGCAGGTCAGCGGACAGCTCCTCGGGGGGGTGGAAGACAGGCTCCGACCTGGGGGCGGCGGTGCGGCGTCAGAGCCCACATCTCACCATGGGAGCAAAGTCACCCTCCAGGCAGCCTCTCAGGGGCTTTGATCCACACAGAAAAGGAAGCAGGACACCTTACCTAAGGATGAAATCCCTCATACCCTGGGAAGGAGGAGTGAGAACCTTTAATTACTACTCAAAGTGTGTATATACACAACAGGAGTTACAAATTACAATCATGTAGAAATAAGTATTACAAACAAAAAAAATGCAGAAACAGGATAAATAAGTGAAAATGCTTTATTTTAGCATAATCTCGCTAGGAAGCCGGACTCGAGAGCACGTGGTATAACTTCTGGAAAAATTCACTCTCTTATATTAACTTGTGGAAACACTCTGGAGGAGGTGCAATGTCCCGTCGTCTTTGTTGACCTCTGACTGTATTTCTTTACTCTTTCTCTCACTGTCCCTCATCCAGCCTTTACTCACTCTGACTCATCCTGACTTCCTTCAGCCTATTCCAGCTTAACCCTTCTCTACCTTCTCAATCCGGATCTGAAGGTGCTTTCTTCTGATTTACTTTCAACTTTCCATCCCCCTCTGGTACCCCATTGCTCACTCTGGCCCCGCCTCTTTCTGCACGTCACTTCCCCCTCTGGTACCCCATTGGGTGTGTTCGACTTCATGCAGCCGCTTACAGCGCTGGCTTAAAGCAATGCATTCTGGTCCTGACACAATGCATTATGGTTAGATTTTTTTGTCCGACTTAAGCCAGCACTGCAAAACGTCACCACGCGTCACCATGTCACATGGTACAAAAACCTCACAAGAGCAAAATGACTTAAGACCGATCATGCAGCATCTCTCAGCCGGCTGCACATACTGGACCCGCCTCCGTGACGACACAACTTTGCCCTTATTGGCTGAAGATTTGTCACATGCATGACGTTTGTATCCCAGGCAATTCTGGTGCGTAATCTGCTATTTCTCCCGAATATCATGTAAAGCAGTAAGAACGGGTTTTCAGTTCATTTACCTGGTAAAATAAAGTTTAAATAAATTACATAAATGCTCTAATAGTAATGTAAGTTATTTATTTATTGTTAGTTACTGTAATGTTGTGCTGCTTTATTTCTTTAACCGTCTAGTCTGTGAAGAAGGCATTCAAGCAAGAATTGCATTGTACTCTGTACATGACAATAAAAACTTTGAATCCTTGAAGTTGATCTTTTTCCTGGCAGCTATCTTTTTACACAGAGCCACAATACACAATAGTTTTTTTCCCACTGATAACAGTTTGTATCAGGAGTTGCTTATTGTAAAAGAAGTAATGTGCATGCAGGTGATATTTGTATAGATTTATCTACACCCTTCTGGCAGTGCTGCCATTGCAGTCAGGTCTCACAGACTACGAGGAGTAGATGTTGTCCGACTTGGCTGCAGTCAGTTTATACTCCACCCCTGCAGCCGCCGGCAGATCGCGCTCCACTTCATGTCAGCTGCAGACAGACCTAAGCCCAAGTCGAACGCAGCCATTGCTCACTCTGGCCCCGCCTCTCCCTCCATGTCACTTCCCCTTCCGTCTCTCTTCCCTCACCCTCAGTAGAGCAGGATTCTCCTCCTGCTGCAGCTTGCGGCGCAGCTGCTCCTCTGCAGCCTGCAGCGAGCTGAGCTGTCCGGCGGCATGCGCCACGGATTCGGCCAGCCGCCGCGTCCTGCGCTCCTTCTCCCGCCGTAGGCGGCCCTTCACTTCCTCTTCCTCACGGTCCAGGAATTCACGGAGCTGCCGGAACTCCTCTGCCATCTGATCCTCCAGGGCAGCCGTCTGCTCCTACATGACATGACGGGCATTTCACATGACACATTGCCACACGAGGCACCAACCAAAACACACTGCAGCCTTTTTACATATTCCACATATTCCTTTATTTATTACTTTTTCATCATCTTCTATTACTGCTAAACTGGTATAGAGTCACGGTATCCCATGTGGCAAAGGGCATGAGGCAGGGGTCCCTCCTAAAGGCAAGACCTGTCCATCACAGGGCACAGGCTACAGTCAATGTGGAGTCTCCTATAAGCATGTCTCTGAACTGCTGGAAGATGCCCAAGTACCCAGAGGAGAACAGATACAGAAGCAAAGGCTGGTGCAAAACCCCAAGCCGGGGGGTATCGGACACGGCATTCTTCACTTATGCCGCTTAAAATATCTGTGGGAAAGTCTGGGCGGCTCGGTGAATAGAACCACGTGACACAGGAATTTCGCAGCAATGGTTTGTGGTTTCCTGTTTCGGGGGCAGACAGAAGTTTGCAGGAAATAGGATAAAAAAAAATCCAGAACACAAAAATGTATAAATAAGTGTTAACAGATTTATGCTGCACAGTTCAATGGCATGAAGAGTAACCCAGTCAGATTAGTTAAACTCTCCTAACTCTCCCTCCAAAAACTGGTGGCAACAACCTCTCCAGAACTGATTTAGTACATTATATGATAACAAACTGTCATAATTTTCTAACAGATATTAAGCTATAAGTGTTTTAATAAGCTTTTCATTTGGAGGCTGATACTTGCAGAAAGGTTGTTTGTAGAAACCAGACTCAGCAAACATTGTACCAATCCTTCCCAAAAGTTAGAAGTAAATATCTACTTCAAGACACTATAGTAGAGGGCAGGTAACAGAGCTTGTGGTCACTTTCTTTTTCACTACCTCTGTAAATAGCTGGCTAGGAATCCAGCAATTGATGAGAATTATGACCGAATTTCCTGCATCAAGCCTATCACCACAGGTCACCCTATTCAGTGACTGCAATGGCTATTGTACGCAGCACAAACCCATCTAATATATCAAAAAGTGCAATACATAAATAAATAAACCAGTGGTTTTTGTCAGATGTTTTGAAATAGCATCAAGATTCCAAAAAGGAGAGTGACAGAAATACTCTCCTTGTGGCACGAACCCACGATCGAGGGCCACCTCACCTTCACCGTCACTATGATCTGGTTGGTCTGCGCCTGAAAGCGCACTGCCTGCTCCTTCTGCAGACGGACCCTCCGCAGCGCCAACGTCAGCTGGTCCTGGAACCCGGCACAGGACTGGTCACATGGCATCCCGGCCCCTGGAGTGTTCTTAACCAGTGGGCTGATATGTTAGGACACTGTTCTCCAATCCGGTCCTCAGGAACTTACAGACAATCCATATTTTTGCTCCCAGCTCCCAGCAGAGACCTGGGAGGGAGCAAAAATCTGTACTGTCTGGCATGGAACTCAGAGGGAGCAACATCGACTGTTTGTGGGTTCCATGAGGATCGGATTAGGAAACGCTGGGTTAGGAAATTCACTTACGGCTCAAAAACAGAACAAAGTAAAGAAGATGAATCTTCTTTTGAATCCATAGCAGATGCAAAGGTTAAAAATACAGTGAAAGCATTGGCCAATCACCTTATTTATAAATAAATAAATAAATAAGAGAGTTTCTGACAATGGACAGAAAGAAGAGAGTACAGGAATCATTAATCAGAAGCACAAACTACTACTGTAGCACATCAGGCTTCCTTTGAGACCAAAGAGGAGGTCTGGACCATGGAAACTACTGCGAGAAGTAAAATGCAAGATAAAGGCCCTTAAGTCGTTATATTGTCAGCACATTAAAATGATCTACTAAAGAACTAATATTATTAAATACATTTTAATCAGCAACATGGTTTCAAGAATAACTTTACACAAATTTTATTTTTTCTAGCTTATTTAACCAGTTTGTGAAACTACGCGGCTCATCTGCAGTGTTTCTGAGCACACATGTGGGAAGCTATCGGGACTCACTAGCGACGAATAGGTGCTAAATTCCGCGCACACCCAGAATCTGTGCTGATCCTTAAATTCTTGTTTCGATGTGAACTCGAAAGCAGGGCACATGCGCATTGCATTCGTTTTTTGGGTGGGATATTAGACAAAATGTGTTTCTATAGTGCAGTTTTTTTCTGTTCCCACTTGCCCGAAGGCGGATGCCATCCATTACCCTGTCTTCCTTCGGTTATTAATTTAAGATACATATTCAGATTGTCATTAAAAACAGTAAATCACAACCTCACCGGAGTACGTGGTATACTCACACGTCGATAATCCATAAGTTTATTTTAAGATCCTTCAGATTTATGTTTGCCATAGAAGTCTTTATTTGCTTTAATTATTTCAAGGGGCCGATCGCACTTATTTTTAACTTATTAAACCACGTTCTCACTTTATATATTTGTTTGTGCCATGTCTCGATGTGTCGTGTTTACATTTTTGGCTGTATACCATACAGTCGAAAATGGCAATAAAGATATGTTGACTTGACTTTGACAATGTAACCCACACCAAATATAAACCTAACTACATAAAAATACATCCAAATAAAGTTTAAATATAGTTTTCCTGTCTACACTATTTAAATGGAATCTTACTCAGTGAGCAGGAGGAACAGCCCGTGATCCCGTCATTTGCAGGAGGGACAACCAGCGGTGCATGACCAGGTGAAATGTACCTTGTAGTTCTCAAACGCCTCATTTATCGGTATCACATGGTGCATCCTGTGGTCCCTGGACATGCCGCATACCAGGCAGATAGCGACTTGATCGTCTTCGCAGAAAAGTTTAAGTTTCTCCTCATGTTCCTGGCAGTATTCACGCCCTCGATCGCTCCCAGAAGCGGCTCCCGGCGGTTTGTGGACCACGTCTCTCTGACGCACAGACTGCTCCCTCGGACGCGTATCCATCGCCTTGGCCCGTCTGACGCTCTCCACGACATTACACAGCAGCGAATTGGGCCGAAGGTTCGAGGTGCACGTTTTCCTACACTGCGGACAAGTGGGGCTCTCCTCGGGCTTGGCGTCCCAGCACTGAGTTATGCAGACGCGGCAGAAGTGGTGTCCGCACTCCAGTATCACGGGTTCGCGGAAAAGATCCAGGCAAACCGAGCAAGTTAGCTCGCCGTGCAGCTCTTCCAAAGCCCTGACTTCAGAAGCCATCTCCGGCCCCTGTCACGTCGCTCCAGGTGCCAAACCACAGCATGGCAGGGCAGCGGACCTTCACCGCCGTCCTGGGTGTGGTTAAAGTGAACCAGCGTGTCGGCTGGGCTGGCCGTGATTGAGCGGAGGCTTGTGCACACAAGTCCTTTTCGCACCCATATGCACACACCCTGGCATTTTGTGGAACGTGGGAATTAAGTTACAGTAGGCAATATTTAGATTTAACGACTGTTAATTAAACACAAGTAACAGGCAGACATGACAATATATTTGTATTACTTTTGGTTCTCAGTCAAGGAACAAAAGGATAATTGCAGAAGTAACTAAAATTAATACAGTATATATACACAGTAGGCCTATATGTACATTGTATGCTGTTTACAACTATTGTGAAGCTCAAACGACGCTACAGTACTGTGATATATCGTTTATGATAATAAATAAAATACATGCATTTACTTTAAACACGATTCTGTGTGAGATTAACCAAGTCAAGCGTTAAAAAAAACCGAACTCCATTACCAATCAAAGTCAAAATAAATTATTCGAAATATATACTTCGCCTCTTCTAGAATTATATATTTTTTTAAATGTGGTTGGGACAAAAAACGTGCAAATGACACTTTGTGCTCGAGCTACAACGAATGAATAAAATAAGAAGTTCGCCACTTCTAAAAATATATTATAAAAAGCTTTGACTAAATGTGTAAACGAAAAATGTGAGAAATATATACTAACAATCACTCATATACAATTATACATTTACTCATTTGTATTTTACACGGAATAGTGTGAACGCTAGTGATTACGGTAGTGCGGGCACGGATCTTTTCTTTCGGTAACTCCCGTAAACATTTTTTTAACGCATTAGTGCGGGCGTAGCCCAACACCACCCCCCCCCCCTCCCTCCCCTTTTCTCACTGCTTTCTTAGCAAAATAGGCCAGCCCAACTGAGGCGAGAATTTCATACTTTTGAAAGAGCGACAGTGTGGTGATGAATTCTCCACTTTCACCCTCTGCTTCCTCAGTATTACGCAAAACTCGAGGAATACAGAGTTACAAAAAAAATACCAATATTGCTTCTGTGTGCATGTTCATCTTGATGAAACGTGTTAATATGCAATTGGGACCTTGGAGTTTTTGGCAGAGAGACCACAGCCTGTCAGGGTGGGAAACATCACTCTTGCTCACATCAGTGTGAGTGCAGGAAACTCCCCAAGGGTGCTTCCATGGGCCCATGCTCTTCACACTGCTCCACCAGCAGCACCTGCTGCACAATCTGCTGCTTAATGCTGATAAGATGAAGGAAATGATTGTGGACTTCAGAAGAACCCCAGAGGAAGGGTGACTCTGCTGTTAGCAGAGATAAACGCATCTGATTCCTTGGTGTGCCCCTTACTGAGGCTCTCTCCTAGAGCTAGCATGTGTCTGCTCTGACCAAGACTGTCCAGCAGTGAGCTCACCTCCTGCAGTGCTTCAGACGGACGAGAATGCCGCATCACTTCCTGTCCACCTTCTACACAGGCCCCATGAGAGAATCTTCACAAACTGTATCACAGCCTGGATTGGGTCCAGTAATTCCTCAGAACTCCAGTCCAGGACCAGCCTACCGTCTCTGCTGGATATCTGTAATGACCACTGCATCCAGAGGGCCACTAGAATGACCAAGGATCCATCGCACCCCTAAGCATATACACTCACCTAAAGGATTATTAGGAACACCTGTTCAATTTCTCATTAATGCAATTATCTAATCAACCAATCACATGGCAGTTGCTTCAATG